ATGAGTCATACCAAATACTCAGGCTATTGGGGCCATCAAAGTGAATTTAGAACACTTTGGAAATATTGGAAAAAGAGCTTGTATTAAATTATTTAAAATACAAATAAAAACCAATGTATTATCTCAATTGATCTTGATATTTTAGACTGACCGGAGGCCGTATTTCTACAGAAGATACATAGAATGTTACGCAAGATAAGGACTGATGGTGCGAGGGCAACTGGTTGTCTACCAGAGGTACCAAGGGCACCATGGTTTGACATGTTCAAGCAGTTGTTGCAGTCAGAGCCAGTGCTGGTTCCACGAACGCCACATACGTTCCTCAAGTACGCTAAGTATGCATGTGGCAAGACGCCATGGGGACACACAGTGATTGCACGAGTTGGGCTCCCTAACGGGTTCAAACCGGACCCGCTGTTTTCACAGCGACTTGGGTATGCAGAACCAAAACACACAGCGTACATAATGTGTTTAAATACGGCACGAGAAATCTCGGTGGCGATGGCGGACGCAGAGGGTCAACCAGCGTTTGAGCAGGCGACATCGGAAGAACAACAGCGCCGTACGCGACTCACGCAAGCGCACCACGAACAAGAACATCATGGTGCGGCTGACACAGTTCAATAACGAGTTGGCAGCGGAGGCTAGGCGGCAGTGCGCTACATGTTTGGGACAGGATACGCTTCGTATAGGCTTCCACCCCCGTGGGACCATATTCAAGTTGACTATATTCCGATGTCACTTGAGTCCAGACGGAAGAACAATTACATACTGCACATCCTGGACATCGCTACCGGCTACTCAATCCTTCGAACGACACCGGAAAAGATAAAGGAGACGACGGCACATACACTAATAGAGATTTCAACGAGCATGGTTTCCCACGATTGATCCAGACGGACATGGAAATGAATTCACCAACAAGATAGTGGAGCTCCTGGTCCAAGAAGTGGGTATGCTACATAAGTTGTCACCACCATATCGACCCCAAGTACTGGGTTCTGCTGAATGCCGTCAAAAAGAGATTACACGTTCTATTCAACAATGCTGTGAGGCAGTTCTTCTACAATGGGACGAACGCCTTCCGTTTACGATGCTCTATCAGAACCTTCGGATATCCCGACGTCATAAGAGCGAGCCGTTTAGCGTATATTTTTTGCCGCCGTCACGTACCATTCGCCATTTTCACTGATGAGTTACCGGATACCCAGCCGATGACGAACGACACCTGGGCACAACGGATAGACCAGCAACAGGATACCATCCTGCCGACTCTCCATCACATTACCAAAAAGTATACAGGCCAACTTACGAAGACATTTGACTGCCTGCACGCTCATGACTTGGTACATTTCGACGAAGATGATGTGGTTATGGTTCGATCGGAGGGCAGGACGACCAAGGCAATGCGGCCACTGTTTGGGCCGTATGTGGTGAAGGCTAGAATTGGACAACGCTATGAGTTGGCGAATAAAGATCGATCCGCCCCTACAGAATTCAATGAAAAACCGGTACGGGTGGAACTCCTCCGGTTAGTGCATAGCCACACAGACCCACCACTTAACGATGAATTGTGGACAGAAAGAGGGGTTGAGTTCCGCTGGTGGTCAGAATACAAGTACTTAGGTTTTAGTTGTTTATTTTAGTTATTGTAGGTTTTTTTTACAGTTTATCAGTATAATCTGATAAACTTGTTTTTTTTGCTGACTTTTACCGCACATGACTGATGACACATTATTAGAGTCATTAATGTTACAATTACTAATAAATGAACAACGTCTCCCTCTCTAAGGGAGGAGAACGTTGCGATACAGTTATTGAAGCGTTCATTTACCACATCTTGAATTAATTGAAACATCAAGATCATACCTTAATAGAGGATATTGCAATTCGTAAGTGTTGTGTTGACTTCATCCACGTATTATATAGTGATCAAGCTGTTGTCTTATGAATGTCTTGGCAAGATCAATCAAATTTGCCAAGCGAGCCTTCTCGGTCTGATCCGGAGCGAAATCCTCGAATATGATTTGTATAGTATCTATAACATCAGTCACTAGACAACCAGTCACAGCATAGTTTACGGCGTTTATGAGCTTTCATCGTTATTTGTTATTGCTAGCAGTATCTTCATGAAGCTAGTTTTCCCTTTTGATATTGTTCAGGAACTGATACAGTGTTGTCTTTGAGCATTACCCGCGCAGGCTTCCGTCTAGTTAGTACGATTACTTCATCTGGCCCTATCGTCACAGTTTTAGTCCCTTAGGGATAATACTATTTATTTCAAAAATGACAAGTATGTATGGTACAGTGTATGAACCTATGGTATTTGCTCTCATAGTCGCTGTAGTGGTTCAGGAAAGATTGATGGGAAGAAATGGTCAAATTTTCGTCAAATAATATGAATTTAATAGAGGTTTCGAGGTCGGATACATTAAACTTCGCTCTACTGTGTTTAATATCTCCTAAACTATCACCGCCAGTCACAACTCTGTAATCGTCATATCATACATCCTTAGATGCATCAGATAAAGCCAACTCGTCATTCTGCTTCAATTTATCTAAGTTTTAGTAGATAAGCCTTTGACCAACACAATATTGCTCCTGCGATGCGCTTTTGTAAAGAGTTTTTAGGTGCTTCTTTAGTTGTTGTATATTCCTATAGTGGTGTGCAGGATCTTGGAGTACTTACTGACTGTGAGTGTCGCGTTTGAAGATTAACCAGAGCTCTAAGCAGCTTCTGACAAAGGCGAACTGGTTTCGTGATAAACAATAGAAGCCAAATGGTCAAATGCTTTCGATATAAATTGACCCATGCAGCTTCATCCTGTTGCATGCGTCGCGGCTATTTTCGTATTATTCGAACGCAATTCGGCGCTAGGCGAAGTTTTCCTTGAATTCCGACTCCACCCAGAAGCATGTGCTAGGTCTACAATCGTATTAATACGCTCGTTCTCAGCTGTACTTGTCGTCACGATGGCAACTATTTTCTGTGCGAGTACATCTTCTATTTTAATTGATATTAGACGTACTCGGTGTCTCACTTGTGCGTAGACTCTCTGCGATGTCCACTCGTGTACTTTTGGCTGAAGCACGCTTTGATCCCTCTCCTTCTACCTCTACCTCACCTATGTATAACCCTCTTTCCCTGCGGTCACCCAGGTCTAAATCCTCAGTTTGAATCAAAATTTTCTCGTTGCTATGTGGATTCGGAGTTTTGAACCGTGATAAAAGCTTCCGCACTCCGCAGCCAATAGGAAGGGGAGGATGTTTTGGAATATATATAT